ATAATAATAATAATAATAATAATAATAATAATAATAATAATAATAATAATAATAATAATAATAATAATAATAATAATAATAATATAATTGGACCCTCTCTTCTTTGTTGGCAGCCGCTCAAATACTGAAGTTCTGCTATCATGTCACCCCTAATTCTTCTTTTCTTCAGACTAGCCAGACCCAAATCCTGCCGCCGTTCTTCATACATTTTAGTCTCCAGGCCTTTGATCCTCTTAGCGGCTCTTCTCTGGACTTTTTCCAAAGTCTCAACGTCTTTTTTTGTAGTGTGGTAACCAAAATTGGTTGCAGTATTCCAGGTGTGGCCTTACTAGGGTTTTGTAAAGCGGTAGTAACACTTCACGTGATCTTGGTTCTGGGCCTCTGTTTATACAAGCCAGGATTGTATGGTATTCTGTTAGCGACTCACCCATAAAGCTATTGTGGTGTTGCTCAGACCTGGCCAGTTTCTGATCTGTCTGAACTTCTTGGAGTTAAAAGTTGCCAGGTTTTGAGAAACGCTGAGCCTATACGAGAAAATGCCAGAAAATCATTGTCTCCTAAGGCCGGAAGGGACCTTTAAGGTCATCTAGTGCAACCCCCTGCCCAGTAAGGCAGACCTTATTCCATCTCACACAAAGGGCTATCCAGCAAAGCTGGCTGGGGAATTGTGGGAGTTGAAGTCCGTCAGGCTTAAAGGGGCCGAGGTTGGAGGACTTAAAGGGACCGAAAGAAGGGAAGGAAGGAGAGAAAGAGGCAGGAAAGGAAGGAGAGAAGGACCGCCTCCTCCCTTGGGCAGCGGGCTGGACTAGAAGATCTCCAAAGTGCCTTTCAACCCCATGCGAATGAAGGAAGGGACGGACAGAGTGAGGGAGGGAGAGAGAGAAGGAGGAAGGAAGGAGGACCAGTCTCCTCCCTTGGGCAAGGGGTTGGACTAGAAGACCTCAAGGTCTGTACATCTAACCTCTTCTTCTGATATCATTCGAGCTTAGGCCCCTGTAAATCCAAGGTCACCAAGCAAGGTACTTCAGATCTGGCTAGCCTGCCAGGTGGGAGCCGGGATGGTGTGTAGGCAGCTGCATTCAGCCAACACCTGCCTGAAGCTGTTGTGAACAAATAGTTCCTCCTGCCCCTCCGCTTTTCCCTTGCATTCTATGATGATAATGTGGTCTCCATTCTCTTGCAAACACGCACAACACGTGGAGGAGACCAGGAGTGGGAAGGAAAAGAGACGAAAGGTTTTTATAGAGGAAGTGGGAGGGTAGCATTTTTCTGGGCTCTTCGAGGTTGGAAGAAAAGTGGATTTTTTTGTTTTTAATACGTTGCTGGCCAGTTAGGAGAATTTATAGGTGGGTTTGACCTGATCCCCACCAAGCGTGGTGGTGCTAAAGCTCACAGGCTGTAACACGATCTTCAGTAGGCTGCTGTTAAAATGCCTTCATTGTCGTTTTAACAGAGAAAGGGAGCTAAGTGGCACCGCTTCCTGTTGTGCAGCTGTATGCGGGTTTTTTTTTCTGTACCGTTTTTATTGTGTGTACGCGTATAGGTGATTTTCTGAAAGGCCCAGAACGAAAAAAAACAACCCTGGAAGGGAGGTGGAAGTAGCAGGGACGTATCCAGGAATTGGGGATCAGGGTGAGAAAACCCAGAATTAAAGTTTGTGGATGCCAGATTTCTATACAGGTAGTCCTCGACCTACAAAACTTCATTTAGCGACTGTGTCAGCATTCCAGCAAACCCTCCTCCAACCAATAACTCCGAGACAGACATATTCTCAAAAGTTGATGTGGATAGTTACTGGCACATCTGGGGAATCCCGAATCTGAAAAAATTTGGGTTTCCTTGCAATAAGTAAAAGAACTACAAGTCCACCCCCTGCACCCATCATCGCATCACATGCCCCAATCACAATCTGTCCTTACTTGAGATGTCACCTCAACCCGGTGCAGAAATCACATGACCTTGAATTAGAAAAAGAATGTTGTTCTGTCTAACTACATAACACTCCAAGAAATTCCCCCCTCCCACTTTTCCCAGGCTCAAAATGTGGCACCGTGGGAGCAACTGGTCTCAATATGGCTTCAAAAACGGACAGACTGTTCGAAGTCACCACAACACGGTAAAAAGTGACCCGAGGCCATTTCTCACACGGACGGCCATTTTTTTCACGCTCATGACCGTTGCCGCAGCCCCACGGCCATGCGATCCAAATTCGGGCGTCTGGCAAACGTGTTATTTTTCCAAAAGTACATGAAAGGGTTAAAAAAACACAACGCAAACCTTTGGACTACTTGATGGATTTCGGCTGGAGGCGTTCTACTGCAGCAAAACATTCTTTGTCTAATGCTATTGTTCAAAAAAAACAATAGTTTGTCAATTTTGTTATTTCCACGTGACCCATTAAAGTTATTGGATTCTCCTTCAGGTGCAAACTTTGACCATGGACTTGGGGCTCAACCTGGACACCGTCAGACCAGTTTTGGGGAAATACCGTTCCTTTGTGGGGCGCTGCTGCCAAAAATGCACCTCGAAGAGTTGGGTGAGGAATTGAAGGGAGGGGAAAACCTATTTGTTTTTTCGTTCGGCGTTTTCCGTTTTTATTGGGTTCCCACGCCGCTGATGAGCCAATTTGGAAAGAAGTCAATTTCCTTGAATTCCTGTTGCTTCCTTTAAAAAAGAATAAATCTTTAGAATTGGGGAGGGACAGTTAACACAAGCCAAAACTGGTCTCTCTCTCTTTTTTTTTTGGTATGTGTGTGCCTGTATGTTTATTTTTATAACATCCTTCAAATTTCCAGGAATAAGTCTTCCGAAGCCATCAACAAGGAGAAATTAATGCAGAGTGTCAGGATTCCAACAATCGCTCTAATTAAATCATGATTCTCCAGCCAAACTTCCATAAACTTCAAAGGATTCATTAGAGGCGACATACTGGCACTGCCCTGTATGCAGCCAACTCTGGCATACATCATTTACAGTCCCCTGTGACCCTGTTCCCCCCACCAAAAAAAATCCAGTGTGTCATAAATCAGATTCTCCAATTGAGCAGGGTGTCATCAATCACGTTCTCCGATTAAATACATTCGCAGGCAAAAGCTCCGTTAGTTTAGTTACAACCTTTTAAAGATAAGAGTTGGAATGTATTTTTGCTTTCAACTGCTCTTCCAGATTTTCCTCCTTCTCCCCTCCGCCCCTTTTTATGGCAACTACTAAACAGGCATAGGAATGTTTTATGAGTTGACACAGAGAAATACTTCCACTTATGACCATTGGCTTAACAACGTTTGAAAGTTGCAACAGTTTGAGAAAGAGCGACTTACAACCCCGTCTCAAAGTTACAACCAATGTATCACCACCCCCCACAATTAAATGTTCACAATTCAGGCCCTTGGCCACGGCCTCGCTTTTATGACAGTAGCAGCGTTGGGTGGTCACGATTTCCAGCCAGCTTCTGAGAAGCAAAGTCAATGGGGAAGCCAGGTTCATTTAAAGACCACACGATTTACTTAATGGCCACGTGGTTCTCTTAACCACCGCAGTAAAAATGGTTGGAAACTCTGGTCAGGTCACCTGATAACTCGTTTAAGAACCACACCGTTTAGCAACCAAAGTCTCTGTCCCCAGTTGTAGTTGTACGTTGGGAATGATCTGCATATAGAGATAATGAATGCCCTTGGTTCTTTGGATAATAGGATAAGCAATTATTAGTTGATGAATTGAATTTTAGAGTCGAAAGAAGGCAGTTAGATCTTCAAGTCCGTATGTCAGGATTCTGACAGTTACCCCCATTTAAACCATGAGTCTCGAGCCAAACTTCCAAAACTTCAGAAAAGAATTTATTGGGCGTTAAACATGCCAGCACTGCCTGGGTGTAGCCGACTCTGAGACATGTAATTTATTGTCACCCTTGACCCTGGTTTCTCCCCCACCCCGGGTGTATCGTGATTCATATTCTCCAATGGGACACGTCCATAGTCCGGAGTCATCAGTCATGCTCTCCAGTTCGAATTTTGCATGGCAGGAACTTCAGTCACCTAGTTACTATCTCTGAAAACATTTATGGAATATGCTTTCGTTTTCCAAGCTGCCGCACTGCTCCCCTCTCCCTTTTTCCATTGGCAACTCTAAAAAGACCATAGAAATATTTTATGGAGTTGACACCGTATCTAGAATAACTCTTGATTAAAATGTTTTGGACAAAGATTGTTTTAGCCTTGGTTTGAGGCAAGGGGAGGCTTAAGGTTTTTCCCTATTAAATTTGTTTTGTTTTTTTCTTTTAAGCAGTTTTTCTTTTAAATTGACTGGGGGATTCTGGGAGTCCACACATCTTAAAGTTGGCCAAGATTGGGAACTCCTGTCCTGGAGCATCTGGCCTATCCCTTACGGAGAGAGAAAACTCAGCTGCCTTGTTCTGGGTTAGGAAGCTCTTAATGAAGACGAGGCCAGGATCGTTGGTAGTTGTGTTGTGTTGTGTTTGTCTCCTGTAGATGGGAGAACGAAGGAAGGCTCTTGACTTTGGAGGGGTAGAAGAGCTGCTGTCTTTAAATTGTGTCTCTTTTTGATCTTCAGGGATGTTTCTTTCACAAGCGCCTAGCTTCCATGGGCTTTTGCAATGCGATCAACATAACAGAAGAAAACACCAGGTGAGTTGAAGAGAGGAGAAGTGGATGACCCCAACGTATTTGTTTCCTACTCATTGTGATGACCCAAAGGGGCGTGGCACAAAGGCAACACAGTCAGATAATCCGTAGGAGTCCCTTTATTAGCTCCATCTTTGCCCGCAATGTCCTGGTTACCTTCTGGGCTGGAGAAAAACTCTCCCAGGAACAGCCTTTGGCTGCAGAGGATCAAGTCCAAAATGTGGTCAACACAAACTGTAACTATAAGTCCAATCAAGGCAAAATGAGATAATTAGTCCAGCAGGGCAAGAGAAGGAATTCCAGACATAGACATGAAGGAATGGCAGGAATTCAACATGGTTGGAAGGACGCCAGGAATGCAGATAACCAAAGTCAACACAAGATAAACTCACGTTTGTTCCCAGAAGATTGACACACTCAACATGCATCTCTTTTAAACTCTCTTCCCAGGTGTGCCTAATGAAGGGAATCAGGGCCCTTTCCTCCCCCGTAAGCCATGCAACCCATGTTGCTCCCTTCTCCGTTCCTCCCTGCGTGCCCTAGGATAAAGAGTGGGTGGGCCTGGGCCTTCCTCTGAACTCCCTCTCCCCTGTTCTACCTCACCCGTGCTCTGCCCAGCTGGACTTTGCCCTTTCCCAGTTTCCTCCACAGCCACCGGAGCCACACCTCCCACTCCCTGCCAGCTGTTCCACCTCTCCCTTGGAATCGGAGTCCAACAGGGGTATGACAAAGCCAGTTTTAACCCTCTCAATGAACACTTAACCATTCTGCCCGCCCCGCTTATGTCAGTGGGGTGCCTAGGATTAAGCAGTAATTCTTCATTAATCTTCCGTCGATGAGAACATCTGGGTTCTTCTTTCGAAGACTGCAGGGTTTGGCTTAGATCGCTGACTCTTGATTTTTCTTGGGGTTTTTTTCCCCCTCTCCTCTCCTCTCCTCTCCTCTGAATTAATACGGTGTGCAGATAACAAAGCTCTCTCCCTCCTAGGAACTGAGTGAGGATTAAAGACTTTATTCTCATTAGCCTGGTTCCTAATTACTTTAATTGCACTTCACGAGGTTCCTTTGAAATACCGAATTCCCTATAAAGTGTTCAGTCTTCTTAACAGCAGGGAGGAGAGGAAAGATTTGTTGGATACCAAAGCGAAGAATGGGGGGGTCCCTACCCCCCCTTTTCTTTCCAAATAGGAGGCCATCCACTTGGGCCCTTCTCGATCTAACTGGCATCCTTGGATTTGGGGGGTCCCAGCCTTTTCTTTGCATCAGCCGGGTTATGGAAGGTGGGGGCTGGGGAAGGTTAGTGTCCTGACCTAGACCTTCCCGAGATCATGAAGCCAGGACTCCTCGTCCCGATAAAAGCCCTTTTATTTAGGTCAAAGGGAATTCCTCTCCAGCAAAATCCCGGCAAACCGTCTTTCATGAGGTTTCACAACTACAGACGTTTATCAGGCTTGGAGAGCTGCCGGGCTGGCATCTTCCAAACGCCACTCTGTAGCAGCAATGACTTGGCAAGAAGTCAGGAACAGATCTTCACCCTCATGAATTGAATTAATTGTCTCCTGCAAAGCCTCACTCTCCTTTTGCTCCTCTTTATTCCCTATGGGAGGGGCCATTCATTGTCCACCTGTGGCTTTACTCCCGAGTCAACCCTTGTTCCTTAACTGTTTCCTTCTCCTGGCAGCTGTGTGCATGTGCACACTGGGAACAGGCTCCAGCTGTTCTTCTTCCCCACTGATCTCTGACTCTGAAGGCAGCTGATAACTGTCGGACGGACCTGGCCCCATCTCTGCCTCCGATGCAGAGCCCTTGTCCGAGCCTTCTCCAGGACTGGCCCATGTTCCTCCCCAACCTCCTCACTGTCCGAGTCTGCCGCCAGCTCCGTTGGCGACTGGCGGGCCACAACAGTTAGATCTGAATAACGTTATCCCATCGCATCAGAGTGTATTGGCTTTCTTATAGTGGGGTGTATACCCGTGTTGCATTTCTTCATTTTTAATCTGTGGCAAACAGGCCCATGGAGACCACAACAATCTAGGACAGGGTGTCTTCAAACTTGGCAGCTTTAAGACTTGTGGACTTCAACTCCCAGAATTCCTCCTCCAGTCACATTAGCTCAGGGATTCTGGGAGTTGAAGTCCACAAGTCTTAAAGCTGCCAAGTTTGAAGGCCCTAGATCTTCTAGAACCTAATAGAATAATAGGATTGGTTGGGTTCTTGGAGATCTTCTAGTCCAGAGGTCTCCAATCTTGGCCACTTCAAGACTTGTGGACTTCCAACTCCCAGAATTCCTCCTCCATTCACGTTAGATCAGGAATTCTGGGAGTTGAAGCCCACAAGTCTTAAACTGGCCAAGTTTGAAGGCCCTTGATCTAGACCCCTTTCAAAGGACAGGCTTAATCTATGTGTGTGAGCTTCATCCAGGCTTCCTTGACAATCGTCCTGGTGAATAATCTGTGGCCTGGATGACTTCTAAGAAAAGAATCCACGTTGGGGATTGCTGCTCCTAACTGATGTGGTTCTTTGTTCCCAGGTACAGAGGCTGGCTTGTAAGGAGGCTGTGTCACTTCCTGACCGTGTGTGAATGGAGGGTTTCTGCTGAAATGCCACCCGATCTCCAAGAAAGGCTCTTTCGCGCCCCAAGGTAACTGCGGTGAGATAAGAGGCTTCACTTGGGGCCTAGGTCACAAACGTTGGACATCCGTGGATTGATCTACTGATTTCATTTTTACTTTGGTTGATACTCCGTGCCTAAAAAGACTCAGGTGGCTTATGGAACACATCAAGCCCAAGGTTAAAGTTCACCGAAAGCAAAAGTCACATCTAGCTATCCTGATGCCAACCAGATTTGGGGATCGTGGGATCTTCCCGAAATGCTTTCCCGGAAAGGCACCTTGCCAAAATGTAATCAGAATAATACATCAGAGTTGGAAGGGACCTCAGAGATCTTCTAGTCCAACCCGCTGCTTCTCCAAAGCCCCGAAGGCAGGACAAGAAGCAACGGGTGGAAACTAACCAAGGAGAGAAGCAACTAAGAACTAAGGAGAAATTTCCTGAAAGTTAGAATAATTAATCAATGGAACAACTTTGCCTCCAGAAGTTGTGAATGCTCCAATGCTGGAAGTTTTTAAGAAGAGATTGGATAACCATTTTGTCTGAAGTAGTGTAGGGTTTCCTGCCTAGGCAGGGGGGTTGGACTAGAAGACCTCCAAGGTGTCCCTTCCAACTCTGTTATTCTATTCTATTCTGCGGATTCTCACAATTTCCTGGGGAAGAGCCTCCGGTTGCCACGCCATGCTTCTTGAATCTACGATAGCGAAGTTACAAGGCCGGCTGTGGCGACCAAGATTTGTAAAATGGTTCAAAAAAAGAATCCCTCGGTGATTGAGACCGTCTCGATAGGTGACACGGAAGATGGCGGCGTGTCCCTTGTGAATGGTTTTAATGCACCGTGGAAAGTGGGAGCCTGCCATTTCGAGGAAAACGTCATTGGGAATTGCGTAGATTTGTGGTTGTTGTTTTTTTTTAACAGGCAAAAGTGACTAATGCAAGGTAGCGTTGTCGTTTTTACAAAGGGCTTTAAAAATGCATATTATGGAAACTGCAGGGCCAAAAAGACTTAAGAAAGAAATGCAGATACTAAAAGCCTAAGCTACACTGGAGAAGGGGTGGAAATGAACACCCACACACACGCCACACACAGAGAGAAACAATGACGCCAGTAGGCCTTGATTTGCTTGTGTTGGGATGAATGTGTATGGTCAGATGCCGTAAAAGTCCCTCTCTTTCCTTATTCCCTGGAAAAAAACAGGTTTGTTTTCTCCTGTAATTCTACCCATTACTGACCCAAAAAACATTTTTGTTTCAGATGGTTAGTGCTGTTTGTTTTTTTTGCCTGCAAAGAATAATTAAATCTCTCTTTTTTTAAAAAAAAAAACTTTTATTTCCCTTTGCTTGGAATTATTTTACCCAAAAAAGGCGAGGGGGTCATATTAATGGGCCATCGTAAAGCTGTCTCTACAGATTCATTGGTTTAAAAAAATCATATACTGTATATCTTAAATGGATTATCTTTCTCTCTCTTTTGTAAAGCCATGTATCCCTTGGGGGACGAAGTTTGCCTTTTCCGGGAATTTTTTTTTTTTAAAAAAAAGCTCCTTATGTTTTCCAACATCCCAAATAACTGGATCAAATTGAAAAGAATTCTATGATGTCATTTTTGTTCCCCCAAGCCCCAGAGAGGGGCCTTTTAAATAAAACACAAATATTTTATGGTTTTTAAATTGCATTGCTGAAGGTTTTTAGCCTTTGGAAACCTCTCGTGTAAAAGAATAATAATAATAAATGTCAAGGAAAATATCTTTCCATCTGACCTTCCTCTCCAGAAGAGGCTGCAGGAAGTTAGAAAGAGCAAGTGCAGAAACCTACAGAGTGCGTCATATTTCTCACAAGGGATTCTGCCGTGTGACTTACGCATCCATTTTGCCCAATTTCTGCAGCAAAATGCCATTCAAGAACCCTATCTTTTATTTTTGAAGTTTTTAGCCTTCTTTTTTTTTTCTTTGATCGGGGTGGAAGGAAACGATCAATATCTGGCTCTGGGAAAAATTCTGATTGGCGTTTTGTCCAATGATGTGGCCCCTTGGGTAAATTTGGCTAATCTTGGAAACGGCTAAAAGAATCGGACAGGCTTCGTAGCTTGGATTGGAGACCAAGCTACTGTTCCATTGGTTGATTGTTGAAAATTCCTCCTTATTTCCAGGTTGAATCTCTCCTTGATAATTAATTTCCAATTTTCCATCCATTATTCCTCGTCTGGCCTTCGGGTGCTTTGGAAAATAGCTTGACCCGCTCCTCTCTGTGACAGTAAATCCCCAGGCTGCAAGTTAGTCTGGGAAAAAAAAAAGTCCTTAACACAGGCAGGATCCCTTGGGATGATAATCAGGACCAGAAACTCAGTCATTAAGTGAACCAGTTGCTAAGTGAAGCACCATTTAGTTTTACAAGAGACGGTGCTGTCCGAAGACGTCTCCGTGGTCATGTGGCTGGCAGGATTAAATGCCTTCGAAGGCGCATGGAACGCGGTGACCTTCTTCCCACCGAAGGGGTCCCTATTTTTCTACTTGCATTTTTTTTACGTGCTTTCGAACTGCTTGGTTGACAGAAGCTGGGACAAGGAACGGGAGCTCGCTCCGTGACGTGGTGCTAGGGATTCGAACCGTCGAACTGCCGATCTTTTCTGATCGACAAGTTAAGTGTCGTAGGCACCGTGTCCCCTTGGCGGTTGCGACCGGTTAAAACATGACCATCCGCTGAATGCGTTCCTGGGACGTTCCCAAAGGCCTTTGCAAAGCTGCTTTCCTTCTCTTGCATTTTTCCTCTTTTCCCTTCTTCCCACCAGAGTGCAGGCGCTGGTCTCCCCGAAAGGCTCAGGGGACGCGCCAGGGACCTGCCTGGAGTGGACGAAAGAGATCCGGAGAATTCTCGGCCAGATACAAGGCCGCCTCTCCCCTTTCCTCTTGAGGTAGGTCCCCAGCTTGGCTCCGCCCAGATGGATTGAGGGGTGGGGCTATTTGAACCCTGAGGGGTGTGAAAGGGAAGGAGGGATTGGG